ACATCAATGCTCTCTGATGCCCCTGACATCAGTGCTCTCTGACGCCCTGACATCAATGCTCTCTGATGCCCCTGACATCAATGCTCTCTGACGCCCCTGACATCAGTGCTCTCTGATGCTGCTGACATCAGTGCTCTCTGATGCTCTTGACATCAGTGCTCTCTGACGCCCCTGACATCAATGCTCTCTGATGCCCCTGACATCAATGCTCTCTGATGCCCCTGACATCAGTGCTCTCTGACGCCCCTCACATCAATGCTCTCTGACGCCCCTGACATCAATGCTCTCTGATGCCGCTGACATCAGTTTTCATCATAAAGTATTCATAATAAAGTATTCATCATAAAGTATTCATCATAAAGAATACTTCCTCCAAACGTTCGTTTATTAGATTTAATTCACATGAAATATATGATGAAGAAATATCTCTCAATATATTCAGAATTATTACCATAAGACGTTTTCCCACACAACAGAAAAAGAGCTAAACAGGTTTCGTGGGAGACGGGAGAGAATGACGGCAAACATTGCGACTCTAGACAGTAATGCTTGAGAACACTATGGTGGGCCCGGCAGTGTGTACCGTCTGCAAATATTGTTAAAGATGGAAACTTTCTTGAAGACAACTGTTGAATTTGTTTAGTTAACTGTAGTAAAATAAATTAATACATTACTATTAGGAAAAATATCCAATAATGTTTATTTGTGGAGAAAAAATCATGATTATGAAGAGATATTGAAATATGAAGAAACGTTGAGAAAAAGATCTGGAAGTGCTCTTGAATCTAATTTGACGATGTCTGAGAAATGCTCCAAGGAGAAATATATGCGAAACGAATACTAATCCTACGGAAACCTTTTTAAATAAAATTTTAACAATAATTTCTTAAAAGTTTCAATGTCTTTTATTTGCTGTAGCATGTGTAGTATTGACAGAATTGTCCTCGTCATTGTTATTCCCACGGTCTTTCTATTTGTTTAGTTGACACCTGAGAGGCAGGGTAATGCTGGGACTCTTTTTCCCAGGCTCCAATACCATAGTCGAGGGTTAGCCTCGGGATCACACAACCTAAGTATGTGGTGTATGATCCTTTCATAATAACATCATTGGTTCATTTTGTCTCATCACTACTTTTACCATTACTGTTCAAATACTGCTACCGAATCTTATACCAATATTTCTACAACTACGGCTACAACTACTTGTACCGCTACCACAAAAACTAACACCATTACTAATGCTACCATTACATCTGCACACAACACAAACCAGTAATCGAGCTACTCCTATGAGAATTAAATACACATTACTAATTAAACATCCATAAATCACGATAAGAAAAAGTTTCTTGGATGGACATTTCGCACGTGTCTTACATTAGGTCAGTGGTGAGTATGAATACGCAAACCCGTCAGTGCCAAGGTCAGAATGAAGGATCAGCGTGAAACTCAATTGTTCTGATATGAATCACGGTGTTAAGTGTGTAGTCTAGACAACTATCAGACAAGTTTGTTTACCTTTCCAGCATTTAGAATGTTATATGAATTAATGTTTAGCGGTGTTTACTATTGGGATAATATAGCCTTAATGCATTAAAATATCATAAACGCAATAAAAGTTTACCGCAGACAGCCAACATTTTTAAAGTTTTTTTTTCAAATGGGTTGAAAGTAAAATGGTCATATTCCTTGTTTATTCATCAAAAAATTAATATTAATTTATTTTATGTTCAGAAGTTGGTGATAGTGTCGATGAGCGTTGCCGTCCTGGTGGCCTCCAGTTGTGCTGAACCTGAAGTGAGTTCCTT